AGAAAGAAAACAGCCAAAGAGGGGGGTCTTGGAGGGTTGCAGGTTAAAGATCAGCCAACAGGAAATCCACAGTTGAGACTTCTGGTTAGGTGGAGGACAGATTATGGATGAGAAAAGGTGCTGGTGGGCTGAATCCCTGAGAAAAACAGTATATGCAATATGTTTTAGAAGGAATTGGAATATCTAGACGTTATTGCATACATGTATGTTTTCACATACACGATGTGTCTAACCTTTGTATGATGCGATCAGATGTGTGTCTCTACATCTGTATAGCCGGGCAGGATGTCTCCATTGGAGCAGCTCTTGGGCTCCTCGGCCGGTGGGGCGCTGGGCAACATGTGGGCAGTTGTGGAGGTCTCCTCTGGTGATGCCTGACCTCGCTGGAGCCTGTGGTGGATCAGGGGCACAAAGAACAGCACCACGCCCCCCACCATCGGAGGCACACCAGCCAGGGAGAAGGCCACTGTGTAATTCCCAAAATAGTCATGCAGGAGACCTGTGCAGCGGAGGTAAGGAAGCAAAATGCGAATGGAAAGATTAAAACATCTGCTTTAGATCAAGCAGATTCCCAGTTTGTTTATACTGTGTATACACACAGTGAAATAAAGGTACACCCTCTTCCACATCCTGCAATGCATTTAAGCTACTCCGCTGCCCGGCAGATGGTGGACATCGCACACTAGCAAAGACAGGCCATGTGTTGACGAAGGCAGTGAAGAAAAAGATTTGTAATTACCAAACGTTGTAGTAAACAATGCAGTATTCAAACCATTTACAGACCAGGGTGTGCAAAGATTATATGAGGAAGGAAATCCACATTTGTTGGGCCTCAAGGACACATGAGAAAAGAGCAGGGGGGGGTTTTAACTACAGCTCTGGGCCTAGAAGACAATAAGCTTTGTCAAGCCTCATAAACACAGTGTTCCTTAGTTTCAGTTTGTCTGCTTGTAGGCTTTAATGCTAACTAAGCATTAGAATAAACGAACCGTTTTTACGTTCTATAGTATGGTTGTTATTATGGTTGTTTTTGTGGCTTAAAAGGGCCCCAATATGCTCATTTCCAACTATGTTTTATCTTTGGACTCCAATTGAAGGCTCTGTATGTGTCACAATTCAAACTAATATTTGTTTTTCTTATCATGGGGCCTGGTGCAGCCCCTCAGTTTTTCCTCTAACACAGTTCTTTGGTTCCAGTAACCATAAGTCAATAAAAAAGACACTTTCTCTGCATGCAGGTCACAGTGTGCATTCTCAAGTAGTGCAGTCTGATCTCTTAAATTAACATCCCACCTGCACCGCCTGTTCATATTACTTTTTGGTGATACTGTTCGCTAACAAAGGAGACGGAAAGCCAAGAAACAAGGCTGTTCATTTTTGTAAAATTCATGGAATTTGACAGTAAGAATTCCTTATTTTCTGTCTTGTTTCCTGGATTTCTGGTCAATTGTGAAAAAAGACAAGTGCCCAAAATTAAAATAAAATTTCTGATTATTGAATAGAAAACATTAAAGATGAAATTGGATCTCCTATATCTTGATTATGAAAACAAGACTTTGCAAAAGAAATGGATACAGCAAGGCTACAACTAGCAGGTTTTTGTTTAGTTGAACAATTTGCAGGTACAGTGGGGCAAAAAAGTATTTAGTCAGCCACCGATTGTGCAAGTTCCCCCACTTAAAATGATGACAGAGGTCAGTAATTTGCACCAGAGGTACACTTCAACTGTGAGAGACAGAATGTGATAAAAAAAATCCATGAATCCACATGGTAGGATTTGTAGAGAATTTATTCGTAAATCAGGGTGGAAAATAAGTATTTGGTCAATAACAAAAATACAACTCAATACTTTGTAACATAACCTTTGTTGGCAATAACAGAGGTCAAACGTTTACTATAGGTCTTTACCAGGTTTGCACACACAGTAGCTGGTATTTTGGCCCATTCCTCCATGCAGATCTTCTCGAGAGCAGTGATGTTTTGGGGCTGTCGCCGAGCAACACGGACTTTCAACTCCCGCCACAGATTTTCTATGGGGTTGAGGTCTGGAGACTGGCTAGGCCACTCCAGGACTTTCAAATGCTTCTTACGGAGCCACTCCTTTGTTGCCCGGGCGGTGTGTTTTGGATCATTGTCATGTTGGAAGACCCAGCCTCGTTTCATCTTCAAAGTTCTCACTGATGGAAGGAGGTTTTGGCTCAAAATCTCACAATACATGGCCCCATTCATTCTGTCCTTAACACGGATCAGTCGTCCTGTCCCCTTGGCAGAAAAACAGCCCCATAGCATGATGTTTCCACCCCCATGCTTCACAGTAGGTATGGTGTTCTTGGGATGCAACTCAGTATTCTTCTTCCTCCAAACACGACGAGTTGAGTTTATACCAAAAAGTTCTACTTTGGTTTCATCTGACCACATGACATTCTCCCAATCCTCTGCTGTATCATCCATGTGCTCTCTGGCAAACTTCAGACGGGCCTGGACATGCACTGGCTTCAGCAGCGGAACACGTCTGGCACTGCGGGATTTGATTCTCTGCCGTTGTAGTGTGTTACTGATGGTGACCTTTGTTACTTTGGTCCCAGCTCTCTGCAGGTCATTCACCAGGTCTCCCCGTGTGGTTCTGGGATCTTTGCCCACCGTTCTCATGATCATTTTGACCCCACGGGATGAGATCTTGCGTGGAGCCCCAGATCGTGGGAGATTATCAGTGGTCTTGTATGTCTTCCATTTTCTGATGATTGCTCCCACAGTTGATTTTTTCACACCAAGCTGCTTGCCTATTGTAGATTCACTCTTCCCAGTCTGGTGCAGGTCTACAATACTTTTCCTGGTGTCCTTCGAGAGCTCTTTGGTCTTGGCCATGGCGGAGTTTGGAGTCTGACTGTTTAAGGCTGTGGACAGGTGTCTTTTATACAGATGATGAGTTCAAACAGGTGCCATTCATACAGGTAACGAGTGGGGGACAGAAAAGCGTCTTACAGAAGACGTTACAGGTCTGTGAGAGCCAGAGATTTTCCATGTTTGAGGTGACCAAATACTTATTTTCCACCCTGATTTACGAATAAATTCTTTACAAATCCTACCATGTGGATTCTTGGTTTTTTTTTCACATTCTGTCTCTCACAGTTGAAGTGTACCTCTGGTGCAAATTACTGACCTCTGTCATCATTTTAAGTGGGGGAACTTGCACAATCGGTGGCTGACTAAATACCTTTTTGCCCCACTGTATATACTGTCATAATGCCTCTTTTTGTTTAACCACACTATAAAAGAGGTGCATAGTAATGTATTATTACAGTAAGAAGGATTATTGGTTGCACCAATATTGCTGGCATAGCTTTGGATATGCTATCGATCTATGTCAGTGCACTGCTGTCTCTAATACTGCAATGCAAAACAAAAATCTGTCATTAGGAAGTGAAGATTATTTTGAAAAATAAATCTCTTTTAAAGAAAAAAAAAAAAAAACCCTGCCAGACAGCATGACTCTTCATTTAAAAAAGTACATTTAGCATTTGACATCTAAGAGTTTCAGTATGTTGGCTGAGGCTACAAAGGCCAGGAAAAAGCTGTCAGGAAGTCAGAAAGTTGTGTAGTAAAAGCAGCTCTGGTATGTGTGAGAGGCAAAAGAGATTGTTGAGATAAAGTCAAAAGATGCCTGAGTCAGCAGCGTGCTGCGACTAGTCTTAGGTATTATTTTTTTATTAGCGAGCGGAACAAAAGAACGCAGATCGAAGATCAGTACTGTGTGTGCTTTTTCATGAACACAAATCCTTGGAGACGGGCAGTGGCTGGTCATGAGCCCAACCATCTCTAAACACAAACCAGTGTATAACCTGTCCTGCTGTGCATTTGTCTTTTTCCGTTTACTAATTACGTTAGTTGTACCCACGTCCAAGGTTTTTCTCTGCTAATATAATTCAGCTCATTGTGCATCCCTACTGCCAACAAGCATAGCACAGATGTGTAAATAACATATATCTGCGCTATTCAAAAAGTGGAAAACACACACACATATATAGCTTCTTACCAGCGATAGGTGGACCTGCAGTCATAGGGATAGACATGAGGCCTAGAAGGTAACCTATAGCCTGCGAGGCTTGCATGGGCCCGACAAGCTCAAAAGCTATGGGAGCCATCATGGTGAGGAAGCATCCATCACACAGTCCCAGAAACACACACACGACCACCAGCCCGGCGAACATCGAGCACTGAGGAATCATCATGGACATCAGGCCAAGAACAATGAAGGAGACCACCTGCAAAATACAGCAAGAACCCATAAACAATCTTTGAATGTCTTGATGCTCTCCTAACAATCTTTTTGACAGATAAATATGCGTTAAATGCAGTCAGTCAGATGGCTCACATTGCTTTCTTTTTGCCTTTGTTCATGCATGTAAATCTGGCCTCAGGCAGATATGGTTACGTGTGCAAGTGGACACACCCTCCATCTACAGGCTCCACCTACACATATTTATGTCAGGTAAAGTTATTTGAGAAAATAAAAAATTCTTTGTCTGCCAGAGAAATTGATCATGAACGATAAAAAGTCCTGATATGTTCTCATACATACTTTAAATATGCAGAAAAACAAAGTTCTGATATGAGTAAGTCTTACCACTTGGCTCGGTAAGACCTGTTGGTCCTTACTGTGAAATACTATTTAAATTAAGTGTATTTCTGTGGTAACAACATAAAATAATTTTTGAATTAATTTTTCCAATTCAGGACTCTTCCTGTGTCATCGCTCTCATCTAACGTCTCCGTCAGGCAAAGTTCAGCATCATAGTTACATTTACTATGGTAATTCACCTGAGTGCACCGGTGCCGTCATCAATCTGATTAATAAACTACATGTTAATGGATTATGAAGAATATAAAAGATATAAAGCTGTCTGTTCACTAAATGACTGTTCTGTGTCACTTCAAAGAGCCAAAGAGTGTTACTTCAAATCCCTTCACAACTACAACAATGTGGATTTAAGCAATTAAAAACTGTGTTCAACACTTGGACAAAAGAAACATACTGGATTTCATTCTATAAAAGACTCTTGCATAACTAGACTCTTTAATATTCACCGCCACACTGTCAGGAAATTCTTTATATGACTAATACTGCAAATGAAGCTTTAGAAATACTTTGCTTGATATCACAGATCAGCACATTTTAAGTATGCATGTCCCACAACTTCAAAGTTGTTTTTATATTTTAATTAATCTGTAACTCCGTGCCCCTTTGCTTAGTGAGCTGCTTGAACGAGTTTACTGGTCAAAACAATGGATCCCTGTGTTTTGCATTCAGCAGAAGCCACACGTGCAGGAAATGGCAACTCCTGTTTGTATTCACCGCACAAATTGCTCTCACGTCACCTTGTCTATTTCCTGGAAAATAGACAAGGAACCTGACATTATCCAGTCATGTAATTCCCCTTGTGTTCGCAAGTCTGTTTTTCATTCCAGAGAAACATAATGCCATTAAGCCATTAATAAAAACGAATTTCTAATTTCACCAAGGTAATAAAAAAATAAATATTTTAGTAAAATTGGGCCTAACAAACAACACAGGTGTGTGAAAAAGTGTTTGCCCCGCTTAAATGTTTCAAATCATCAAACATATGTACATATGTACACAAATGTAAACACAAGTAAACACAAAATGCCGTTTTTAAGCGAATTATTACATAAATTAACTGTTGTATATCACATCTTTGGAAAGCTGAGTTCCCAGGCCTGATTACTGCCACACGTGTTCTCGATCAAGAAATCACTTAAACAGAACCGGACTGACAAAGTAAGCAGTTGACCAAAAGATCGTCAAAAGCCAGACACCATAGTGCGATTCAAAGGAATTCGGGAACAAATGAGAATCAAAATAAGTGAAAACTCCCAAGAGGTTATAAAGCTGTTTCTAAAACTGTGTGACTCCAGTGAACCACAGGGAGAGCCAGTATCAATAACTGGCAAAAACACGGAACACTGGGGAACTTTCGAGGAGTGGCCGGCTGACCAAAATTACCACATGAGTGCAGCGGCGATTCATCCAAGAGGTCATAAAAGACCCCAGAAAAACATCCGAAGAGCTGCAAGCCTCACTTGCCTCAGTGTTCATGACTTCATAAGAAAGAGTCTGGGCAAAAAAGCCTGCATGGCAGAGCTCCAAGATGAAAACCACTGCTGAGCAAAAGGAACATAAAGGTTCATCTAGGTTTTGCCAGAAAACATCCCGATTATCCCCAAGACTTTTGGGAAAATAGTCTGTGGACTGACGAGACAAAAGCTGAACTTTTTGGAAGGCGTGTGTCCCGTTACATCTGGCATTTCAGAAAAGTAACATCATACCAACGGTCAAATATGGTGATGGTAGTGGGATGGTCTGGGACTGTTTGAGTTACTCTTACATAGTAAGGAAAAGCATTTAAAAAAGTGCTTGTGTGGGTGAATGAGGCAAATTGTATAAAAACCTCTTTTTGACAGGCACACTTACCACTGTGAAGTGCATTAGGTTTTCCCAAAAACAGACCAAACAGTAAAGAAAAGCAGTCTGCATAAATTTTAGAGCTTCAATAATTCCCTCACCTGCATGTAGACTTTCCGTAGACCAGGAATGAGGTCCCCGATCTTTCCAAAAGTGAGGCGTCCCACCCCTGATGATGCTCCTATGCAAACAAGGAGCACCCACTCCTTTTCAGTGCCCTTGAACTGTTCTTTTACAAAATTAATCTGAGAGACACAATAAGACAGAATCATTACTGTGGACACTGTTAGTCCGTAAAAGTCCATCGTGCATATAATGACAAAGATATTATACAATGTGCTCATGAACCGTATTCTTCATTGCCGAGAAAACATTACACTCAGCATTTGTTGGAGTGGAATTGTTCATCCTTCACCCCAAATCAACCTCAAACATTAACAAAATGTCCACATCAACAGACCTTTGGAACAGCGGAGCAGGAAGACTGAACGCATATAGGTCAGAGCCTCCCGCTCCCTTTAGCCGTGACCCCCAAATTAGATCCAAAACATGAAACCGCCCTCTGAAGTCTTTCCTGAACATGCTGGTCCTTGTGAAATATTTGCTCTGCTTTGAAGGTCTACATTCATCAATGGCCATAGGATAGGTATGTTTAGGGATACAGAGAGGCCATACAGGAGAGGTTTCCTGAGATGGTCGAGCCAATACAAAGACCGGGGCAGTGTTTACATCTGGGCCCGGGCCTGAAACAACAGGCCTGACAGAGGGAGGCCGGAGCTGGAACATCCGACATCTGGATAGAGGGAGATCAACTTCACAGCAACTTAACACTTCATCTTCATTTTTTACTATCTTATTATCACACCCCAAATTCAATCAGAGTTCAGACTTTGAAAACATACTTGAGTTTGTGGATGTAAACTTTCGGCTTCTCTAGCTGAGTAGTTTAGTTAGTAAACTACTGTCAAGCTCTTTGGCTTCAACATGACATATTTAAAATATAGATTTTCCCTTTGGGCAACCTTTTTCAAAGGTAGTATACTGAAGCAGAAAAAAATTAAGAAGAGCACAATTAACTCCTGGCAACTGAGTGCTGTTCCTCACAGAAGCTATTGTGACAAACTCTGTTATCCTTATTGAGAGGGACAAAGGCGATGTTCAGCCACTGCTCATTTACTCAGTTGACATGCATTCAATTGCCCTCTTTCCAAAAGGCCTACAGAAGATGAATGGCACCAGACCTCCCACAGTGCAACAGTATGGCTCTGACATCAATCTCACTCCCCCTCATTTCCAGTGTCAGCTGAGAAAAAGCATTTTTACATCAAACCCATGATTAGGAACCCCACTGATCTCTAATGCTCTTTGTGTAAGCGCATAATATAAATAAAGAGGTCGGAATGTTTTACCACAGCAGAAATAACTGAAAGGCTGTTAAACAGTGCTTTCTTTATTCACATAAAAACTGGGCTTATTGGAAATATTTATAAAGCAGCACCATTTAGAAACAATTACTTCTTGCCTATCTTATGTTCTTACCAGATGGATATATGGCACGAAATAGCCCAATACAGCTGTAGCCACTCCAAATGCCCACACTCGGTATGTGACGATGTGAAACACACGCAAATTGAAGTACTTCCTGATGGTGGTTATCGCCCTGCTCCACCTGCCTCCACCTTGAGCATTAGCTTGAGTTTGGGATTCGGCATGGTCGGGGCCTATTCCTTGGGGGCCCATGTCTCCCCCAGCAGGGATCAGAGGCTTGAACATTAGCGCCAGCAGAGCCTGGATCAGCATGAAGACGCTGAGGATCTGGAATGTTCTGCTGAGGCCCAAAGGTTCCACCACCTCTTTCAGTAACACCGGAAGGCCCATAGAGAAGAGGCTGGCACCAGCCGTCACCACACCATTGGCCAGACCCAAGCGCTGGCGGAAGTAGTGGCCCAGGATGACCAACGAGGGCTGGAAGGTGAAGGAGGAGCCGCAGCCAAACAATATGCCGTATGTGAAGTAACGAAGGATCAAGGAACTACAATGAAAAAAAAGGACATCAGGAAGAAAACCGAGCATAAATATAATAATAAATAAACCCAGTGTAGGTTGTCCACAGAAAACTCTCACAGAGGACCACATGGGCTAGCCCACATGGGGCCCACATGGGTTTTTCATGTGCAAGCTCATAATGGTTTACCCACAAAATTTCCTCTTGGAGGCCTAAAAGGGCAAAACATCTAGAGCCCCTGATTTAGCATATAATTTTACATGGTTTCATTCATATTTTCAAAGGACGTATCTGACAAACATGTCTTACTTTGCAAACGATGTACTGAGCAGTCCTATAAAAGCCAGTGCCGCCCCACTCACAGCCGTCTTCCTACAGCCAAAGTGGTCTGTGAACATGCTGACCACAGGTGAACAGAAGAAGATCATGCCCATGGCCAGGGCCCCAACCCAGGCTGGAGAGGAAGTTGAGAGAAGAAAGAATTCATCATCAGAAGCATGTGGAAATCTCAGGTGTTATACCTATCACCTAAAGTAAATAAAAGACACTGTTATATCTGTTTGTACACAAAGCAAAGATCAGTGTGTGCAGTCCTTGACCATTAAAACATAATTTTTTCCACGTGTAGAAGTTATTGCATAAAAGTAAAAAAAGGCATCACTGAAAAACAACATGGCCTTCATGCACGTATGCCTGGGCCTCTATGCAAATCTTTATGTTTTGTTTAAAGTTTTTGAGAGCTTGCAAGCTGTTTGCAAATCTGCCACCTGACCTCAGCAGCAGCCACGCTCAAAGTAAACATGTGTAGCATGTTGAGTCTTGCCTTTAAATGCCCCATACAGTAGGTATTAATTAACCCAGACAATAAGAATTTTGCCCACAAGATTTCCCGAAGCTTTGAAAAACTACAAAGCTTTGTATGCTGCACACTAGTTTTTTCTTCTCTGTCTTTGTGACTCTCTCACCACCTGATGTGATTTGCTATTAATATACATTTATGTAACTCTACTCATTATTGTGTCTACACTTGCATCATGTAGATCGGACACGCTCTATAAGATTTCTCATGGTGATTAAGCAGATCAAAAAGTGAATCAAAGTGGATAGTTCTGGCCTGTAGAGCATGCAGTGTTAAAACATAACGAGGCAGATTTCTCTAGCAGAGACATCGCGTACCCTGTAGTACAAACAAACACATGTCTGGATCCAGTCCCTGAGGGAGCAAAGGTAGCTTTGATGTCTACCATGGTGTCTGGGCCTTGGGTCACACTGGTCCAACAGTCCAATAGAAATGAGACCAGAGAGACTACTAAACAGCCTGATGGCAGGATTTATGTACCTAAGCGCGCACACACACACACACACACACACACACACACACACACTGAGTTCAGAGTGAAACATGAGCTGTGCACCACTGTATAAATAGTCTTAAATGTGGACACTATGTAACCCTATGTACTATACTATACATGTAATAGATGTTCTGGTACACAGAGTGCGATTAAAGCACAGGACTCTACTCGAGTCTTTCTACGGTTTATTCTTTCAAATTAAATGGAAAAAAGGGGAGGGGGGTCATACACCCAGCCATATAGGTGGAATCGACATCCTCAATAACAATTTCAGTAGATTTAATAGTATAATATATTAAATGCTTTTGATACACATTCACTAGTCACTTTGTTACCTTGCAGTGCTGGGTTAGACTCAGAATGAACAAGGTGATGGAAACAGGATTTTGGTCCGCGTTGACATCATAGCATCACACACTTGCTGCACATCCATACTGTGAATCTCCTGTTCCACCACCTCCCAATGGTGCTCTAGTGCATAGTGATATACTCATATTACAAATGAGTGTATCATAAATGACCATCATAAATGGTCCACTATAATACATAGGTAGGCTGTGATGCTTAAATTATGCTTTATTGCTCAAGGTTAGACTTTTTCTAGTCCAGTCAAATTCTAAATAGCATACTTTGAGGAATTTGCAAGTAGTGAGACATACAAACATAAAAACAGTGCCCTTTAAGTTACCTAAAAGTGTGAACTGGCTGATAGTTATGAGTGCTTCTATTGCTGAATTAAACTCACTGCATTTCCTCAGCTTCAGATATTATTTCTTACTGATGTAGCTCCTAAGACCACTTAAGCTACCACCTGTAACACTTTTCCTTTTTTCTGTTCAATACTAGATGTCCAGCTGGTTTGTCTGGAAAATACCACAGGCTCTTAACTTAATCTCACCAATCTCAGCTAGTGATTGCGGCGTTCCCATCTGGACGTGCACTGCTGCTAGCATGCTGTTTCTTGCAGACTCATTCTTGGAAAGCCCAATATCTGACACAGAGATGTAAAGTGTTTTATAACACTCAAATTGGTCAGTTTGGCATTATAATGTAGTTCCAGTATTGCTTTTTTTAAATGGCTCTAGCACCTGCAGTGCTAGTACTGCACCAATAACAGTTTGGACATGACAAACCAAAAGGTCCGATGTGAAATCAGAGGGTCAAAACAACAGGCCCGTGTCACACTGCCTTACAGCATACTCTATATTCTGGCCAGTCCCACAACAAAGCCCCATTTCCCTGTGTCCTGACACAACAACTGAGTGCACTGTGCTCATTAGAGGGGATTAGGTCCAAACACTTTCAAACAAAAGCAAAAGAACACAGTGAGGGAGACTGGAGCCAAATGAAAAGATGTCTGTTTGTGTGGGGTAGCAAAGAAGGGGGTTAACAAGCTTCCATCTCTTAACGTGATTGATGCAGTCTGACAAGAAGCAGCAGACTCTATAGGACCCATATTTATGTTAGAGTAAGAACACTTAAGGCAGAAAAATGCGGTTGGGTTTGATATAATAAGAAGTTTATATAAGACTAATGATTTCAGCATGCTTTATGCTAAGCTGTAATATATGCATGCAAGACAACTGTGTTTTGTGGATTTCTTCTATGTGTTATGTAATTAAAATGTATATTTACATAACTGTGTCTGCTCTAATCTGTGTAGCCATCCTAGACAACCATATATATGACAGCTAAAGGTACACTAAAACTAAGTCATTCATATCACAGAGGCCCTGTTACTCCATTCATAACAAAGCTGAAATTTAACCAGGCATTAAATTACCTACACTGTAGTTACTAAATTATTAGGTTCACAGATCCTTTTTTATGAGCAGCTGTAGTGCAATGAGAAACTGACACTATTTTGTTGTCCACAGCACCGGATTTGAAATGAAATAATGACGTTTAACTGCCTACTTTCAGTCTTAATTTGAGAATATCAGGATTCGTATCAAATGACTAGAGTAGGAATAATAGGTCATTAGTCCCCTTGTTTAAGGGGGCAGAAAGTAAGATACTTTGAAGGGAAACTGCTCAGAATATGGTCTGTGGGTTTTCCAGAATAACAAAGACACTGTCCTTGGAAAGATCCCTTGCTGTTGTTTTTGTTTTCATTGCTTTGAGAAGCACCAATGACATTTTCTTTCACTTCCAATGTATCCCGCAGTGTATGAAACCATCCGCTTAGACGACTGCGAATGCAGCGCACTGCTGCTTTCAGCTCAAAATTATTGTTTCTGAGCCAGTGAGCCCAAACAATCAAAAACACATCTGTTCAAATGCTTTCTGACGATATTTTCCACGGCTGACGCAGACACGGGGAAATGCTGCTGAACCTAAACAATGCATCACACTGTTTCTGAGAGCGTCTTGGGGGACATACTCCTAAAGAAACAATAGTCATAGGTATTTTTGTCCCTCAAGGTAACATAAAATGCTCTTAGCAGGTGCTGAGGCAACATAATAAACTGAAAAACACAAATACATTGCTTTACACTGCTACGATCCAGCAGTGTGTTTTTTGATTATGTACGAGTAATCCCTATGATCCAGCTCAGGTTTCAAACTGCTCCAAATGCACAGATTCAGAGCATTTTTTCTCCACTATATTTCTATATGATCAGAGCACATATCCCTAATGTGGTCAGTCAGTCAATCGTGAGATATTTGGCTTGAATTTAGCCAGAAAAGAGCTAAAACTTCTTCAAACGCAGGCAGTGCACAAACTTACAAGCCGCACCAATGTCCAGTATTAGATCAAACATGTTGAATCATCTATAATAATAATGGATTGGATTTATATAGCACTTTTCAAGGCACCCAAAGCGCTTTACAATACCACTATTCATTCACTCACTGGTGGAGGTAGCTACAGTTGTAGCCCCTCTGGCCAGCACCAGTAGGCGGTAGGGTAAAGTGCCCAAGGACACAACGACCAGGACAGAGAGCCCGGGGATCGAACCAGCGACCTTCCGGTTACAGATGCGCTTCCCAACCCCATGAGCCAAGGTCGCCCATGTGAATCAACTGTGAATCAACTGTGAATCATCCACGAATACTACAGTAGAGTCCAAGAACAACACTATGAAGATGAAGATAAGCATAAAAGTCACCTTTAAATCAGTCATTTTTATCTTATAATAATTAATACCATACCAAGTTAAAGGTTAAAGTCCATAATAAGGACAGAATGTTCATTTTAAAGAATGAGAAAACACTGCTTGTATCATAAAGACAGTAGAATGGTAAGGACGTTGTGTTAGCACAAATATAGAAAGTACAACAGGTGAGGTGACACAGTTCGCAAAGGCTTGCTAGCAGAAGGCATGTGGAGGCCCATCTGTCACAGATCAACCAGGAGTCTCTTCAAACAGCTCAGGCTCAGACCATAAATGAGCTCTGACAGCAAAGCTATCAGGATGCTCCTTGAGTTGTTTACTCGGTACCACTCACAGGAAAATCAACCATTCCCTCTGATGTTTACAAATCGCATCATATTTCAGGCTGAGAGTAAGTGCAAACTGCTTGTGTTGACACTATTAATAAAGCTGAAAGGGGTAATCCTTTTTATTTTTTTTAATGGATGTGTTTTGCGGAGATTTTACTCTGTCATGTGTCGGCGTAGTAGTACAACTCAAATTAATTGGATTGAACTGAAATGATAGTTTCTGCAACATCATCTATAAACAGATGCATTTTGGTATTGAGGGGACACTGGTGTCCTAGTCGTTAGGGTGCATACCCCATGGGCTAAATTGTGATCAGTAGAAGGGTCCAGAGCCAAGCGCCTGGTTAAATGGACCTCATCCTATCTAAATACCGGAAAAAATGCCTAAAACTAACCAAAATCAACCAATAACAGTCCAATTAATCTTTGTACACATCTTTATATACCTTTTTATAAGCGCATGGAGCTTGAAGAAACTTTTTCCAACCTGAACCCATTCCACTGTCCACTGGAATGCTAAAAATGCCTCGTTGCACCCTGATCTGCCAACCTAAGATTTCCAGCTGTCCTGGGAGATGCTGGAGAAATCTGGAGCAGGGGAAAAACAATAACACACTACCTACCAAGAGCACAGCCCTGCGTTAATGGTTT